TTCCTTCCTTCCTTCCTTCCTTCCTTCCTTCCTTCCTTCCTTCCTTCGCCTGCCTTCTGCCCACGCTGGTCCTTTGGCAGGATGGCAGTGATTTTCAGTCAGCTGTAGGGGACATTTTCCAGTCCTCTCCCTCCTGGCCACACAGCGGCCACACTGACCCTGGTCACAGCACCTGGCACTGTAGAGTACTCAGCCTGCTTCCGCCACCCCGAGGCACCCGTTTCTTAGCCAGAAACCTCCTTTCCGCGGGCGCTAAGGGTGTGAGCTGGGCAAGGGTGGGTTCCTGCCAGAAGCTGAGGGGACACAGGCCCTGTGGATGCGGGCTGCACAAACTGGGTGCCTGGGCAGGGGAAGGCGCCCCCTGCACAAGTGTCTGGGGGGACTCTGGAGCACCTGCGTCCCAGTCCCCAAAATCACCTGGCTGAGTCTGCCTGTCGGGCATGGGGTTGCAACACCCTAGGACCTGAGATCGGTTCACGCCGGCTTGGAACCACAGGCAGCGAGGCTGATCAGGAGTTATCAAGTCTTCTGACCCAGGAGGGGCGGAGCCAGGTGCGGGGCTCACCCTGGGGGTGTGGTCAAGGCTACAAACGGGGCATAAGCCCCGCCCCTGCTCACTCCCCTCCCCAACTCCCAGGCCAGGAACTTGACTCCTAGGAGGTCACTGGAGGGAGCAGGGCTGGAGAGGCGGCTACCTCCTGTTCTGGATTGTCCACTGTCCCTGTGTGCATGGGAGGCCATACTTCTGTCTTCGCAGAGCATAGGCGTCAAACCAGAGGGCCAAGCCATAGTCCAGAGAGGGCACCTGGCAGGTGGGACAGCGACACTGTCAGGTATGGCCAGGCGGGTGCACTCACCTCCCTCGAGGGCACAGGGAGAAAGCCACACAGAGCCCCAGCCGGGGTGAAGTCTGTGAGTCATTCAACAAACAGGCATCATGGTAAGCCACAGAGGGAGACTAGCTACAGTGGCCCCCACCCCCACGCCTGTGGACTGGTGCCCTGTGCAGAGAACAAGGTGGTGTGGACTCACCGTGAGGTGCCAGGAGCAGTGGGTGCTGGGAGAATAGTAGCTGGGGAAGTAGGGTGTGCTGAGGGCACCTTGTGGGTCCAGCCGGCCCTCCAGCGTCAGGTTCACCTGGCAGGCTGACAGTGGACAGCTGTTATGCGTGGGTCTCCACCCCAACATGTCCCAAGTACCTCCCACCAGGTGGGGCAGCTTGCGCCCACCACCCCACTACCTCCAAAATGAGCCTCAGTTTCCTCATCTGTAAAATGGGGGTAGTGATAGCAAAGTTGAGCAGATTGCATAAATAAAATGCTCAAACAGGCCAGCACGCTAAGTGCTCAGTGCACGTTAGTTTATTGATATTGGCGTAGTGAGGGTAGTGACAGTGATAGTTCGGCTCTGGGCAGATAACAACATGTATTCAGAGCTGTGTCAGCCTCTCAGCTATGACACCTGGGAGGGAGGCTCAGAGATGAGGTTCAGAGGGGTTAGGGTGGAGCTCAGGGTTCAGTGATTTCCTAACACCGGAGGCCTGGGGTTCAAGCCCCAGCACCCCAAAATGGAAGCAGTGAGGTTGGGAAGAGAAGAGCGTCTTGGCTGAGGAGCTCAGGGCGGGTGTGAGGGTCTTGCAGCTGCCCTGACCGCCTCTCCAAGGGGCAAGTAAGACTGTCAGGGACCCCAGGGACGGAGCCAGCTGTGACTCAACAGGGCCCGCTGGACCCGGGAAGGCCCACTCCGGGGAGGCCCAGGTCCCCGTCCCCACTCGGGGAGCCTCACCCTGGAAAGCCACTGGCTGCACGGAGAGCACGAAGGGGTCCACGTAGCTGTGCAGGCCCTTCTTCCACACCACCGCCATGACGGCACCCGAGGCCAGCACCTCCACTACTGGCTCCTGGCGGCTGCAGCCGTAGACCCTGGCAGAAGAGAAGGGTGGCCAGGGCGCGTAGGGTGTTTGTCAGGGTGTGGGCAGGTCGAGCAGCAGAGCTGTCCGCTGGAGGGACAGAGAAGGGTTCATGGGGATCCATCTGTGCATCCGGGTCCTAGGCTCAGATCTATGACCAGCTGCTGTTTGTTGGTGCTTCCCTTTGTCTGGGCCCAGAAATTGACCAGAGTCCCTGCCTAGTCAGACCAGCTCCTCAGATAAGACAGGAAAGAGTTAGCCAGAGTTGGAATTTACACTTCCGCTCTGCCAGTGAGCCTAATCCTAGGCATCACCCAAGACCTTGATAGTGGCAGCTGCAGGGACCACTACACTGGCTGTCCACACCCTGGCTGCTGGCCTAACTCCAGCCCACCCCAGCACACCTCTGGGTGAGTGTGAGAACCCGGGAGTACGATAGTCTCCTCCCCAGCTGTGGGGCGGGCAGTGACACCCAGAGAAGCCCCAGGGACAGCCAGGGAGACCCCACCTGCAGGCCTGGAAGCCAGGTAATGTCAAGAAGCAGCCCCCAAACTCCACTGAGGTCAGTGGGACAGGGCAAGAGGGGGCAGGGCAAGCACAGCCTCATGACTGGCAACTCAGAGCCTTAGACGGTGTCCTCACAGGGACACACCAGGCCCAACCCTTACCTGGAGGCCCGGCACTGCCCAAGTGACGCCAGCCTGATGCCTTGTGCTGAGCCAGTGCTCAGCAGAAAAGACTGCAGCTGTCCATGCCAGCGTGCTGCCCCCACACTTGTGAGCCCCTCTGCCTACCCTGGGGGGGTGGCCAGGCCCTTGGACACCACGGCCTTTCCAGCCCCTCCTCCTTAACCCCCTGCCCCACCCTCTGACCCCAGTCTCTTCTATATTCCATACATATCACACATCTTAAAGCCCCAGGCCCCTGCTCAAGAACTTTCAGTAGCTCCCCATTTACCAAATAGGAAAGACCAAACTGTTCTAGTATGCCCTGGATAGCTGGGTGTCAATAAAAAAAATACAGAGTGATTGTCATAGTAGCTGGAATTTCCTGGACACTCAGGATATGTGAGGGTCACAGCACAATCAGTCTGAATTAAATTCTCACAATAGACCTGATAAGTGTGCTTATAGTCCCATTTTACAGATAGGAAAACCGAAGCCCAGAAAGGCAAAGCAACTTGTCTTAGGACACACAGCCAGGTAGCAGCAGAGTAGGAAACAGAAGTTTAGGCAGCTGCAAGACTCTGAAATCCAGTTTTGAAACTGTCTCATTTATATTTATTTCTCAATTAAAAAAAAAAAAAGACTGAAACCTTCCAACTAGCCATGTGGCCTATCTCAGATCAATTCAGGGGACACCTGGCATGAATGCTTTTGTTACAGATGGGGAAACTGAGGCTCAGAGAGGGCAACAGGACATTTCTGGCCTCCCTCTCCTTAGGTCCCTTGTCTTGGTCTCAGTGCTGACCAGGACCTCTGACCCCACCCAGTCCGTCCCCCTCCGCCTGGACTCACGAGGTGATGAGCCTCTTCTCCAGTGGCCCAGCCACGTCATACATGGCCAGGCGGTCGCGGCACTCAGCCAGGGTCCACTCCAGCCGCACCTTGAGCATCAGCTCCTGGGGGCCCTGCAGGTGCCACAGGCAGTTGGAGGCCAGGTGGTCGGGGCCCTTGAGCCGCAGAGCCTGGCCCTGGCTCACGTAGCTGTAGCGGTAACAGCCTGCAGGGGGAGAGGGACAGAGCTCCTGACCCTGCAGACTGAAGCAGGAGCTGGGGGCTGGCATCCCGCATCCAAGGTGGGCAGGGGCCAGCACACCACACCAACCTCCCAGCCTCCCTGCAGTTCCTTTGGCAGCTCCTCATCCAAGCCTTTGCTCACTGGCCTGATCGCTCATTCACTCATCAAACACACAGAGCGGGCAGGCTGGATGAGCGCCAAGTTCAATGGGGCTTGGGTGGAGAGAAAAAAAGGCCCACATTCCCAGGCTCAGGAGGCAGCGACCAGAGAGGAGTTCAGAGCCAGTGATGTGAAACAGAACAGGGAAATAGTTTGTGCTTATAAGGGGTTCAGTGCATTTGGGATCTGTGCACAATGCCTTGTTCTCCATTACTGCTCTCAGCGGCTTCAAAGATAACCTCCCTCCCTCCATTTCTCTCCTACCTTCCTCCTTCTTTCCTTCCTCCTTCCTTCCTCCTTCCTTCATTCCTCCTTCAGTACTGGGGATTGAACCTAGGGACTGATGCCTGCTACACAAATGCTCTATCACTGAGCTACATCCCCAGGGTCTTGCTAAATTGCTCAGGCTGGCCTTGAGCTTACAATCCTCCTGTCTTGGCCTCCTGAGTTGCCAGCATCATAGGCATTCACCACACCTGACTCGGTGCGTATTTCCTATAACTGTACCCATTTTACAGACTAGCAGGCAGATCTGGACCTTGGCTGTCTCATCTGTAGACTGAGGATGATTTGCCCACCCTTGTGGGTTCATCAAGACTTAGTGGGATGCTTATTCCCCAGCGCACAGTAGGTGTTCCGTAAAAGGAGTGGTTGTTCTGCTTGAGGTGGGCATCGAAGAGAAGCCCTCCCCTCTTGCCCTTGCTCCTTGAGCTTTGCTGCTGCCCAGGACTTTGCCTGAGCACCTGCTCGGTGTCTGGGGTGGGCTCAGGAGCCGGCAGTGCCGTGGCAGATGTTCACCCCACCATAAGCCTGCGAATTGGGCACTCCGGGTCCTGCCGGGTGAGCTGGATGATCATTCCATCCGCCCCACTCCTCATCTGTTTAGCTCAGGGCCACAGGCTCAGTCAGTCAGTTCTGGCAAACAAAGGTAGTCTTAAGCCTTGTCCTCCCTCCTGGGGCCTTCTCTGTCCTTGATTCCTGGTCATCCTGCTACAGGGGGAGCGCCTGGGCCTGCCTTGGTGGGTGATCGCCAGGGAGGAAGGGCAGGGTGTCTACGGTCTACCTCCAATGCTACTGTGGGCAGCTGGGGAACAACACGCCTGTTTCTCAGGGACTGTGTGTATGTGTGTGTGTTTGCTTGGTACTAAGAACTGAACCCAGGACCTTCACGCTAAGTTGCATCCTCAGTCCTTTTTTATCTATTATTTTAAGACAGTGCCTCTCTAAGTCTCCAGCTGCGCTCCATCTTGCCATCCTCCTGCCTCAGCCTCTGGCCTGCTGGGATGATGGGTGTGGCAAGCTGAGACCTGTGGTCAATCAGAAGCCCTGTGACTTAGGCAAGTCCCCCTCACTGCCGCCCCACCCCCACTTCCAGACTGGGAAGAAGTCAGTGAATGTGCCTTATGGGTTGGCCTGAGCTAACACCCCTGCTCCCAAAGGTCCCAGACCCCAGGCCAAGCAACTCTTCCTTCCTACCACTCTGGGCCCCAGCACTCTGAGCTGTGTCTCCAGGGTGTTTTCAATCTCCCCAGATAGCCTCTGTGTCCCTGGGTAGATCCACCATGCCCCCTCCCTGGGGCTTCTCTTCCCTGGCTGGCATTTGGCTCTGACAATCTGTTTGTGTCTGCCTCCCTCCCAAGGCTTGGGGAGGACATGGCATGGAGGCAGCACCCCCAATGTTGGCTGGAAGGCTTTGAACTGTGCCCCACCTCTCGGGCTCTGTGGGGGGCGGGGGCTCTGGGTGCCTTCGGAGTCACTAAAGGGTAAGTGTAGAGCAGCTGCTAGCAATGCAGGGACCAGGCTGGGGACCGGCCCTGCAGGGGAGCACTTGCCTGCATGCTGGAAGGCTTGGAAAAGAAGCAAGGGAGACAGAGAAGGGAAGAAAAAGAAAGACGCGCCACACAAGTGCCAGGGCCACAGGACAGTGGTCTTGTTACAGACAGGCAAGTCAGGCAGAGGCAGCAGGCAGCTAGACAGGCGCTGGCCCAAGGTAGGGTCAGGATGACCAGGCCTTGGTCAGTCACACGGGAGCCTGAGGTCCAGGTAACAAGAACTGGGTGGACCATTAAGTCCAGGCAGGTGACAGGTGAGGTGACCGATGAACACCGCGACAATAGCTGCTCCTAGCTGTCTGGAAAGTGTTTGTCCTTCTCACCATGCTCTCTAACAGGACAGAGGCCTGAGGTGCCTGCAGACACAAGCTGGCTACTGCCCAGCTCCTCCTAGGCCCATTCCTGGCCTCAGCAAGCTGGACTTAGTCTATAGCTGGCCTTGGCCTGACTCAGAGTGGCTTGAGCCCTGGTCATTTTTTTTTGGTATGAAAACTCTTAGACAAAGAGACTCCGGGCTACCCACTTTTCCCTTCTTCTGGTCCCCTCCTGACTGTTTGGGGCTATCTCTGTCTCCTTAATAAACATTTTTCCTGCCCACCACCCTCAGTCTTTGATTTTAAAAGGCACTGACCCAGATTATGTCGTTACAGTCTGTGCTCCCTGTTATGGCTGGTGTGTAGATGTCACCCAAAGGCCTCATGTAGGCATGGCTGGGGCTTTGCAGAGCTGGCTGGATCTAGAGTGTGTGAGGCTGGGACTGATCCATGGTGAGATGCTAGGCCAAGCACACTAGGATTAAGGGCGTGAGTGCTACCGACTCTAAGTAGCCTAGAAAAACTAAAAGGGGCAGGGCCTCGATAGCCCAGCAGTTGAGCACCTGCTTAGGCAGGTGCAAGGACCTGGATTTAATCCCCGGTACCACATGCCTCACCAGCCCCACCCCTGGGGTGTGCTGAGCCAGCCACTAAGACCCAGTGTTGGCGCACACCTATAGTCCCAGTGCTGGGGAGGCTAAAAACAGGAGGATCACTATAAGTCCAAGCTGCGTGATGAGACCCTGCACAAATTACATTTTTAAAAAAAAACCTTAATAAAGTCTTTCTGCCCCTTTTAAAGTGTATTTGGTACAGGGTCTCACCATGCAGCTCGGACTCATAGTGATGCTCCTGTTTTCAGCCTTCCGAGCACTGAGATTATAGGTGTGTTCCACTACACCCGAACTCTGTGTCTGGCTCAGTGTATGTGGTACCGGGGATCGAACCCAGGTCCTTGAGCTTGCCTAAGCTTGCCTAAGTAGGCTCTTTGGTCTGCTGAGCTATCCTGCCAGCCCTAAAGCTTCTAATTCTTTTTTTTTTTTTTTTTTTTTTTTGTGGAACTGGGGATTGAACTCAGGCCCTTGTGCTTGCCAGGCAAGCGCTTATTCCACTGAGCTATCTCCCCGGCTAATCCTAAAGCCTCTTACTTGCTTGCTTTGCTGCACTTTGCCCACCAGGAGCTGTTTCTCCCCAGTGATGCCTGTCATGCGCCCTGCCTTGGAGCCAGCCAGCTATGGACTGAACCTCTACAAACTGTGAGCCAAATACTTCCCCGCTTTAACCTTGGGTGTCAAGTATTTTATCCTGGCAATGAGAAAAGTAACTAAGACAGCACCCACTGTGCCCCTCTCTCTGGCAGGGCAGCCCGGGTGACCATGCCCATAGAGGGACCTTGCTATTTATTATATTAAAGGAGATAAAATTGACTCACAACTTGGGTCTCCACTGCAAAAGGCCAGCCTTGGGGAGCTGAAAGTCTTCTCCACACTCCCAGGCAAGGGCAGGCTCAAGGCACTGTCACCCGAGTCCCTCAGAAGCAGGAGCCCCTCACAGGCTCATTCATACTTTGCTCCTGGGCTGTGCGTTGACATACAGACTCATGGGGCTGGAGAGTTAGCGCCACAGTCTAAGGTCCTGCCTGGCAAGCGCAAGGACCTGGATTCGATCCCTGGTACCACATACTGTGCCAGCTCCGGAATCCTGGATGCTCTGTGCTGACCAGCAAGACCAGGCTTGGTGCCACACACCTGTAATCCCAGCACTGGGGAGACTGAGACAGGAGGATCAGTAAGAATCTGCGCTGCACAGAAAGACCCTGCGGCCAATAAATACAAGATTTTTAAAAATAAGAAATAGAAACCCCTGAGCTCCAGGAAGACCCCTGGGACTCTCAGGAGAGGTGGGGGTTTCAGCACTGTGACTCTTTCCAGGGGTTTCTGGGAGTCCAAAAATACAAGAACTTCTGGAATAAACCCAGAGAATAGGAAACCTTTCTCCCGTGCAAGAAAATTAACTTTTCCAAATGTGGTAATAAGTTAAAAAAAAAAAAAAAGCAGCAGTGAGAGCCACTCTGAGACTCCGCTAGAGGAGGGGTCCTTGTTGGGGGGGCCTTTGTCTCTTCAGGGTGGACAAAGGAGCTATAAGGAACCAGGACCTGTGCCACCCCAGCACCCTGCACCTCACATAAGCTGGACACCAAAGAAAGGCACAGGCACGCGTGACGATGCCACTCTTCCCATTAAGTTTATTTGGCGTATGGAGTAGTTACTTTTAATTAAAATGTTCTGTTACTATTAAGGGGCGTATTTCCTAAACATGAATTAATAAGTCGTTTTTGTTTTTTGAGACAGGGTCTTGCTTTATAGTTCGAGCTGACCTTGAACTCACTTTGTAGCCCAGGATGGCCCTGAATTTGTAAGACTCCTCCTGGGATTACAGGCGTGGGCCACCACTCCAGACTAAAACTGTGTTCTTAAATATCTGTTTTAGCTTCAATGGTAATTATTAATACCTGCCACCTGTTTATATAAACAAAAGCCCTTTCAGGTCCTCGGTATTATTTCTAAGAGCATTAGGGCCCCTAGTTGCCCTAGGTCAGTGCTCAGCAGGCTCAGTGTTGTGCAAGACCAGAGCGAAGGCACCCGAGGCTTCGCAAGCTGAGGCCAAACTGAGGCAACTGCATAGGCACTTTTAGAACCGGAGAGAAAATGGAAACAAAGCTTTTGTAAGTAAGGAGAGAAAGAAAGGTTGAAGGGGGGATGGGAAACAAAGAAGCACCTGGTACAAATTCCCTGTGATGCATGTCATTGTTAGGTATGAACAAAAGTAAAAAAAAAAAAAAAAAATTAAATTACAAAAATAAGAATAATTTAAAAGAACAAGAGAGAAAATGAATGGGTCCCCACCATTCATCAGTGTGAAATTCAGTGTTAGCTAACTAGCCACATAAAGCAGTCGGGCAGATCTGATTGGCCCATGGACCGTGGTTTACAACCCTGTCCCCAAGCAGGATCTACTGATCCACCCCCCCAGCCTTCTGGAGTGAGAGTCCTGACTCACTATGGCTCCTGGGGACCCAACCCCAGCTCTGAAGGGTGAAATGTTAACCTGCAAAAGACTGGCAAGCTGCAAATTATTTAGGATTGCTGAAAAAGAATATCCAAAAGTTATGGCGTTGGCTGCTGGGATACCAGCCAGGTCGTCCCTGCGCTGGCCATCTTAGTCCGGGGCTAGAGGCTATGGCAGCTTAGGTAGTGCACTGTGCGACTCTAGAAGTGACCAGCCCACAGGCAACAAGGGGGACAGCGCTCTGGCCTTGCGCAAAGGGGGCCCAGCAGGTAGCTCGCTGCCCAGGACCCAGCAAGAAGACAGCGAGCGCAGCCTCTTGGAGAAAAGCAAGGTGGGTAGCCCTGTGGCACTGGCAGGGAGGGGCGCATGATCAGCCTGGCTAGGAAAGGAAGAAAAGAGGAGGGGCAGCCTTGAAAACGGCCCATCTGCTACCTCCAAAAGGACCTCCAAAGGACCAAGTTTTTGGGTTTTTTTTCCTAGTGGTGGGGATTAGAACCCAGGACCTTTGCATTGAGCTATATCCTCAATCCTTTTTTTTTTTTTTTTTTTTTTTTTTTGAGACAGAGTCTCACTAAGTTGCCCAGACTGGATTTGAACTTGAGATCCCCTTGCCTCAGGCTCCCGGAGTGCTGCGTTTACAGGCATGCATCACCATGTGTGGCTAAAGGATGAAGTTTGTATCCGAAGTGACTCATGTATGTTGGATTTAAGACAGCTTTCCTACCCTGAGTGGAAGCAGCGTCTTGTGGGAAGTTGGATTTCAGGATAGAAAAGCAGAGCTAGGTTTACGTGTGCCAAGCCTGCTGCTCGCTAACCACACACACATACACACACACACGTGTGTGCAGGACACACTTCCACACCAGCACACACCGTCCTCCCTAAGTCTGGCACGGGACCCTCATGGTGCCCAACGGCATCCCATGGGTGTCCCTAACCCAGGCTCCCAGCACCCACACCAGAAGCCCCTTCGCCCCCAGTGCTGGGCCAAGCCAAGAAAAAGTCCAACTCAAAAGGAAAACAGGGCAGGAAAACCAAAAGGAGCGTACCCAGAGTGGAATTCAGTGCCACTATGTCTTTCACACTGGCTTCTGTTAAAAGGAAATGAACAAACAAATAAACACCAACAAAAGCTAAAACAAAATACAATGAAGATAAAAACAGAGAAGGCTGCTAGAGCCAGGCTTGTCTGAGCCCTACCTGCAAGGCTCCCACCCACCTGCTGGCCCAACTCTGGAGTCCCTGGAGGACCTATCACACAGCATCCCGGCCCTGGGTACAGCGCCCCCTGGTGCCACCCTGCCAGTACTGACCCAGGATCACCAGACCCTCAGGGTCCACCTCATACTCGGCCGTGTAGGAGACAGGGGCCGAGCTATTGGCTGCAGACAGCAGCTCCTCCGCCAGCAGCGTCTGCACCATCTCGGGGCTCAGCGAGGGCCGGAGGTGCTCTGGGATTTGCAAGATGAACCAGAAGAAACAGGTGAGGGGTCCCTCCCTAGAGCAAGAGGAGCCAGGCGTAAGTCCCTCAATCTGATCCCCATGTAGCAAGTGGCACAACCAGATGTGACTAGGACAGATCCTAGGAGTTACTATCAACCACCCCTGCCATCCCAGCCTCTGCTAGAGAAGCCAGACTCTCTGGACCCAGGCCTGGGGCCGTGGGAGCCTGGCCACAGCCCTGCACACACGATTCTGCAGACAGGCAAGCTGAGCCCTCAAGGGGTCACATGCAGGAAGCCCAGCTCCCGCTCTGTGGCCTGGCGTCCCCATTCTGAGATGGAGGGCGTGGCCTTATTTGGGTCTGAGGTTCTAGCAGGAGGTTGCGTGGGAACAACTCACCCAAAGGAGTAGATGGAGCTGGAGTTGTAGTAAGAACCCAGGCGGGTGTTGGCAATGAGTTCTTTGAGCTGTGAGGAGGGACACAGGACATGGAACATGATGGCCTTGTGACTCTTCTGGTGATAGCACGGCTTTTGAATCCCCTGTCAACCTGTGGCCTCTGCTCCTCGCCGCTTGACACAAAAGCCTCGGGCAGGAGGTTGTCACCGGCACACAGGGACCACCTTTGCCTCTCCCACACACAGCTCTCAGCTCCACCTATGGCCCCTCTGCTCTGACCCAGTCACCCCGAAACTCTGCAAAGGCCCTCTGGGGTCCTCCTCCCAGCAACCTGGAGCCACATAACCAGCTCCAGTTGGGTGCAGGAGGGATTGGTCCAGAGCCCTCAGTGACCATGAAAATCAAGTTCCCAGGAATCATCTCGGTCTACACCAACCTTCCGGCCACATCCTGGTACCGTGGCCCCTCAATAGGGGAGGGAGAGGAGAACCTGGGTTAGGCCCTGCCGAGCAGATCTTGTACCAGGAAATGAGTGAATGGCTTATTTGGGGGTGGCTGTGGCACAGCAATGGGGTGGGGCTGGGACCCTGATGGTGTCCAGGACCCTGCTGTGCCATCCCTGAGGGCATGGGCCACTCCTGGTAGGAGGCAGGAGCGGGGGCTAGCACCCCCTACCACCCCCACAGTGGGGTGGAACCCAGGGCCTCACGGATGTTAGGCCAGGTCTCCATCACTGACCCACAGTCCCAGCCCACAGTCCTGGGAGATTTGACCCAGGAATCTGCTGCGCACCTCCATCCTCCCAATCTCAGGTCCCCTTCTGTGGTGGCCAGGACAGGCTGTGCCCTGGACGTTGCCATCACCCTGACTCCATGGGAGCCTGCTCTAGCCCTCTTCTGCCCTGCCACGTTTTCCTACCATCCTCTGGGCTTTAGCGGCTTCACTGCGGAAGATGCCAGAGTCACGGCGGGCGAGGTCCTGGGTGAAGTGACGATTGAGCACCCGGAGGCTGCCCGCGTACACCTGGCTGACTGTCACCTCGGCCCTATACCCTGTCCAGGAAGGAAGTGGCAAGGTGACCCAGGGAGCAGACACAAATGCCCCCATCTCAACTTCCTTCTGCTGCCCAAACCCCCACAGCACCATCATCATGTGCAGTACCAGCAGCCTGCTCTTTGTCAGTCTCCCCACCAAGGTTACACAAAGTCTGTCTAATGACAAACTGGCCCCAGGGTGCCTGGGATGACAAAGGCCCACAGACGGTGTCCCCAGGGCACCCCATGAGAGGCAGTTGCACTGAGCAAGCCTGAACATGGATGCTCCCCAATGCAGGAAACCCACACAGGCCCGGAAGGTCAAGGTTGTAGGTCGGCCCCTCCAGGCATCAGGCTGTTCAAACGCCCTGGGTAATAGCCCTGGTAAATCCTGCCAGGAATAGTGCTGGAAAAGACAGATGTAAATCCAGCAACCATGCCACATGTGGCAGCTGTCTGTCAGAGTGACGTCTAGAAGCTCCAGGACCTACTGAGGGGACCGGACACAGGAAGCAGGCCTGGCCACAGGGCCCTCCAGCTGGGATGTGGAGGCTGGGAAACTCCACTGAGGGGAGGGAGTGTGGGGGAGGCTACAGTGTGTGCAAAGGCCCCGGGGCCGGGGCCGAGGGATCATGGGAAGGACCAGAGCTAAGAGCCTGTGTGGTTGGAGGAGAAGGGCGACAAGAGGCCGGGCCGTTGGGGGTAGGCTGGAGTCCTGACAGAAGCAAAGCAAGCCATGGAGGGGCTGAGTCAGAGATGACGTCAGCAGCTTTCCATTTCACAGACTATTTTGGCTGACATAAAGAGAACAGATCTAAGCCGGGGGTGGTGGCACACACAGCTAACCAAGGGAACCACTGTGAGGTCAAGGGCAGGCTGAGCTGCACAGCAAGACCATATCTTAAAAAAAAAAAAAAAAAAAGATTCAACCAGTATTTACTGAGCATGGGTCTAAGCTGCCTGGGTAGGTCTCTATCTGTCAATGAGTGAAACAGTCAAGGAAAAACTCAGACCTTCCGAGTCGTCACCTAGCAAGGAAGACAGCAATGAAGCACGGCACATGTCAGAGGGGACAAGAACCATGAGATCAGGCTGTGCATGGGCTGCAACGTGAGGGCTGGGGAGGAAGGTGGTGGGGTTGGGCTGGTGGTGGATGGAAGGAAGCACAGCAGAGCCCCAAGGACAGGTTCCAAGAGGAGGCAAGAGCTCTGGATCTGCGCAGGGCCGGGACCCAGGCTTAGCCACGCGGAGCCCCAGTGACCTAGACGGTAGTGTGAGAGCTGGAGGGGAGTGCGGAGTCCTGTTAGAAGGCTCCCCAGAAAGAGGTGGGATAGGCCGGGGCTGCAACAGCTCAGACAGCTGCCAGGCATTGGCTGTAAGGGGCACAGAGAACAGGGAGGCATCTGCAGGGACAGACAGGTGGATGGTGGTGGGTGGCACTGATGGAGGACAGGGTGGTGCTGTGCCCTGCCATTATGTGGGCAAAGAGGGTGGGGTCCAGAGGCTGACAGTGGGGTGGAGAAGACAGGCAAGCAGGAGGAGCCCACAGAGCAGCAGGCGCAGGGCCGGGAGCACATCAGAGGAGCTTCCCTTCCCAGGGCGCTTTTCTCCCCAAGCCTGAGGCAATGCGGGGCTGGAGGATCAAGAAGAATGCATGGAGTCAACAGGGAGGGCAGGACTGGGGAGACACTGTTGGAGGCACTGCACGGCCCACCTGCCCTGGGCAGGTGCTGGGGCCTGGGTGCCCCTTCCCTAGCCATGTGCTCCCTGCTCAGGCTAGCATGGCCCCCTGTGCTCTGCTGCTGGCCCATGTCCCCTTCCTGGGGGATGTGGCGCAGCTCTGCCAGCCCAGTGCCCAGTACACACAGCCAATCCCACTTGGCAAGAGGAGCCGCCCAAGCAGTACCCGGAGTACCTCCTCCATCCATAAGCCCTTTCAGGTGGCTTTACCCAGGTGAGTTGGTGAGCTTTCACCCTAGGGGACCCCTCCCAGGTAGAAGCTGCAGAGAAAGCCAGTTGGCAGGTGAGTTCCTGGCCCTGTGGCCCAGCACTCCTAGGTTTACCCTGAAGACTAATTACCCAGCGACCTGAAGAGGCCTCTGCAGCAGTCTGTGCTCTTTGGGGTGCTGGCTTCCTGCCGGTGGTGAAGTGCACACAGCGTCTGTTCCCGGCAGAGTTGCCTGTTCTGAACAGCTCCCATGAGCCACTGTGAGTGGTCAGATGCAGGGATCCCAGCCCCATCACCCCAGGGCTTCAGATCCCCTCTGAGTTGGGCCTATGCAGATCTGCCTCCCTCGTGGCTGCTCCAAATGGGGTCCCTAGTTCCTTCCAATGGGCCTGAAATTCCACTGTGAGGCCCATCTGGGCAGAATCATGTCTAGAACCCAGCCACGGGGGCTACACCTGCAGTCTCAGGTGTGGAGGCTGACACAGGACTGAGCTTAGCCTGTGCAACTTAGTGACACCTTGCTTCAAAATTTAAAAAAGACAAGGGATGAAGCTCATTGATACAGGCCCCCACCCCAGGTTCATTCCCCAGTACTGAAAAACAATGAACCCACAATCTTAGTCAGGTAAGCAGGACACAATAACACACACACCTGCAATCCCAGCTATGGTACTTGGGAAGCTGAGGCAACAGGATCACAAGTTTGAGACAGCCTTGGTAACTAAGTGAGATCCTGTCTCAAAATAAAATTCGTAAAAGACCTGGGGCTGTAGTTGGATGGCAGAGTGCTTGCCCAGCATGGAAGGCCCTGTGTCCCGTCCTCAGTACCACAAAGAGTAACAAGAATCCCTGTCTGACCTTTGCGAGCTATTAGTGAAAAGCCTGTCAGCACCTAGGCACACTGGCCATCCCTGCTATGGCTTCCAGACCCCTCGGCTTCTGCCATCCTGGCCCAAGAGGTGCTGTGTTATAGCCCCCACTGCGCCTGACCCCAGAACTCGGCGTTCAGGGCCCCGTGTGCACGATGAAAGTGTCTCCAGCGGAGCACAGGGAGTGTTTGGCCAGGCGCGGTTGCCTCCTCACCGTAAGAGCTGGGGGAAGATAATCTCTGCCACTTAGGGGAAATGCCCGGTGGTTGTCAACTGCATCCGTGTCATAACCAAGTGGGGATGGCACCCGCGGACCCAGCTGATCCAGGACGGACTCAGAGCCATGCCATCGGGTCTCAGCAGGGCCAAGTCAGAGACAAGCAGAGCCCCTGGCCTGGCTGCTCTCCAGCCTGCCCCTCCTTCGCCTCCCATTCACAAGAGGCCCTGGAGACCCAGGGCTGCCAGAGCTGTGGTCTCCTCCCTGGAGCGCCAGGCTGGCTCAAGCGAGCAGAGCCACTAATTGGCAGCAGGCACCACCGCAGCGCTGGGCTCCCGCGACAGAGACAGGCTGGCTCCGAGTCATGTTTGCACTGGGTGGCTTGCTGGTGCCGAGCACTGGCTGCTGGGAGCGGGAGGTTTGGCAGCACCAACCACCTCAGGGGACGCAGAGGAGGCCTGGGGAGAGGACACCTTGGCACGGCTGCACAGGGAGTGGCCGGGCATCTCCGCGCCTGCAAACCTGGCCTGCCCTGCGGTAGGCCCCACAGCCACCTCCGCTGATGCCTCCCCAAAGAGTATTACCTAGGAAATACCAGAGCATGACCGCCACTGAAGCCAATAGGACCAGGACCAGCCACAAGGGCGCCAGGCACATGTAGTCCCGGGCTCTCCTCTTGGAGGTCTTGAACATGCCCTCTGGCTCTGCCTCCTCACCACCACCTCCATCACTCTGCCCGCCGGTGACCTGGGGGGCCTCAGCCCTGGGCATCCTAGGGAGAGACAGAACAGAGCTGGAAGCAGCCTGGCATCTGCAGCACCGCTGCCTCTCGGATGGAAGGGTGACAACCGCAGGTCTCCAGGATGGGGGTAAACACCGAGCCGGCTCACAGTGGAGGTCAGTGAGCCCCAGAGCAACTCTGGGGACAGTGGTGACACCTGACCACCCCCAGCCAGGACAGACGCCACCCTGTGGACACTTCTCTCACGTGGCTCCCACGCACACCCGATGGGCCTTATCCCCTTTCCCCAGCCCTGAGTCACTGTTGTGCTGGAGGGGACCTGGCCCTTCCCATTTCCATCCCAAGGGCTTCTGACCTTTCGCAGCCTCTTGGGCCCGAGGGACGGAACACAAGTTAATATTCCCTCAGACCCCTCAGGTGACAACTCCTAATCCTCATTTAATCTTCATTTTGTCACCGGTGGATGTCAGACCATTGTCCCCGCGCAGACACTCTTAGGCCATTCTGCACAGGTGCTTCACAGGCCCCTCTCTTGACTAAATCTCCAGACACCTCTCCCCTCCCTGAGTCCATCGGACAGGTGAGGAAACTGAGACCTAGGGCGTTTGAGCAACGGCTCAGTCGCCGTCTTGCCTAGCTTCTTTTTCCTAATGTGATTTGAATGCCTGGCATTTTACAGATAAAAAGAGCTAAAGCCCAGAGAGGCTAAGCCTCCTGCCCAAGGTCACATAGCAGTCAGTGGGGCATGAGTCCCGGTGCCTGTCTCTCTGTTCTTTCCCCTCCTCGAGGATGCTTCTGAAAAACCATATGTTAATTATCAAACTGTTCAATAGCAACTCAGTATCAGCCCTCTCCATGTCTCCGTCTGGTGCTTTATCTTCAGATTTTCCCAGGCAGTTTCCCAGAGAAGACAGCTGCCCTTCACCTACAGGGCAAGGATCCCACACCACCGGGGCCTCAGTCTTCTTGGACCCATAAATGACACTGTGGCTTTAAAATTCACCTGGGCTGAACACGTCCCATCTGGACTTCTGGCCCAGCCTCTCCGCCAGCTCCCGAGTTCCCTCCACTCCTCCAGTTGGCCACTGTCCAGACCACACCAAGGTCTTCAGTGGCCTGTTATGGCCCACTGTGACTCACCTTCCCTTGGAGCCATAACATCTATTGCACACATCTCCCCGTGGCCTGTGCCACCTGCCTGGACCTTGGGAACTCTTCCCAGGCTACCTGCTGATCATGGGATCCAGGGTTCGGGGCCACCTCTGCCCCCGGCAGCCCTTGATCAGATCGACAATGTGCCTGGTGCCGGGTCTTGTCTTTGTTTCCTTTTAAAAGGCTGAGCCTGTGTCTGGCCACTTCAGGGATCCTTGGGCACCCAACACAGGGCCTGTCAAATGACTGAATCACAGAGGACAAGAGGAATGAATAAAGGAGCCAGGGTTCAGCTGTGGTTTCTCCTGCATTTGCTGCCTGTGGGAAGTGGATTTGGGCAACATGGTGGCCAGCGAGGTCCCGGATTCCCTAGAGGGACACCTCGCTGTTGTGGAGCACCCACATGGATACAGGGTCCGTGCTGGGGTGAACAGTGACCCCTCCCACCCCTAGAAGGTCTCACTCCACAGGAGAGGGTGTGGCAGCCAGTCATGGAGATGCCCGCACCATCGTCCTCCCCTGTCATTCAATGTCCACTGCTCCTGCTACGCTGAGGTACCAGCCCTCCAGAAAGGTCCCACCTTCCAAGTGCTCCCGGAACCCAGGCTTTCTGGTGTCCTCATGTCTCCCACAGTCACCCACACCGTGTCGTCCATCACCTGACCTCCCTCAATAGTCGGTCACCTGCAGCAGGGAATTCCCACACAGCCGCCACAGGGCCACCTTCAGCCGTGCAGGCTCACAAGCCCCACACAGCTTGCATGCACCTGCAGCACAGTGCAAGGGCTCCTGCATGGCCTCTTGTCCCCTCACTCCCTCTGCTGTAGCCACATTCAGCGCCCTGCCGGCCACCCACACATCCATCCCAGGGCCTTTGCACTTGTTGCTGCTTGGCCTGGGAGGCTTTTCCTTCAGGTTGTTTCACAGCCTGCACTTGACCCCCTCAAGTCTTCATTCAGATGTTAGCCTTTTCCCCTCTGCGCTGTGTTTCTCTTTACAGCACATCTTCCGGACCACGTCCCACGATACGCTCATGTGTCACCTGTCACCACTCGCTTCTCCAGCCTCCTTTGCTCCTTATCAACTCCCTGGGCTGTGACACTGGCCTCCTCTTGGCTCTGTATCTAGCAGGGAGGAGGATAGTAACCTTGGCTGGGCATAGCCCTGGACACACAGCGCCATCTGGGCCGGGAGCCGCGTTCGTTCATGCTCACAGTGGAGCCCTCCCCTCCTGCTCCTCCTGCCCGGGCCCCCTCCCTGCCTGGCCAGCTCAGCTGTGGCCTCTCTGCACTCTGTAGAGATGGCACCTCCTCCAGCAGCTGTCCCTTCCATGCACAGCTCCCATGGGGCATCCTCCCTCCCCTGACCTTGAGCCCCAGTGGAGGGTCTGGGCCTCTGTTGCCTGGTGACCCTCTCACCTGTTGTGTGTGCCTAGACCCCACCCTGCACTACCCCTCACCCTCCCCTGCCCATCTGACCAGTGCTGGGTCCTGGTCACCTGCCAAAAGCCGGGATCCCTGGGGCCCAGCCCTGGCAACCCCAACCCCCAAATGTGCAGCAGCTTTTACCCCGCAATGCTGCAAATTGGGATTCATTTCTCCCCTGGAAGCCTGGGATATGTGTTCCACTGCCTCCACTTAGTGACGGGGAAGCTGAGGTAGGAGAAGTCGCTCAGCCAGGGCCCATCAGAGCCTGAAGAAGTCCCCACTGTGAGCTCCGGCGGAGGGGACCCCGCCACACACACATGCACCCTCAAATGTACACAGTCCAAGGGACACACACGTGCCTGCTCACAGCACATTCCAGGTGCACAGCGTGGATCACGCACACACGGACGCACACACGCGCACGGCCCGCACAGCTTGCGAGCCAGAGGCTGGTGAGGGGTCAGTCACGGGGTGGTATGGGGCTCTGGGTCTGTCTCTCACCCCAGACTTGGAGGAGGCAGCCCCTCCCATCCTCCAGGGCCTGAAGAGGGGGTTAGCCCGAGAAGTTAGGCCTCTCCCTGTCCCTGCCCTGGAATCCCAGGCCTCCCTCACTGACACTGTGGCCCTCCAGTGCCTGCACTCTCCATGCAGCTGGGTTTGCCCTGCCCCAGCACTGTCACTGGTGCCTCTGCTCATAGGTCACTCTCAGGCTAGTGAGGCCCACAGCCTAGCCACAAAGCAGGGCAAATGGCTCAAACCCCAGAGAGTCACTTTGGTTGTCGGAGGGGACACTGACACCATGTCATTCATAGACCTCCCCATGTCTGTTTCCCAAGTCCCCTACTTACCTCCCGGAGTGGTGGGTGGGTGACAGTCCCACACACGGGCCTACGGGAGCTCTGTTTGTTCAGGCCAACGTTTCCCCACCCCCACCAGGCTGGCCTGCGGTGGATCAATGGCCCAGAGCCATGGCTGGGGTGTCTGGCCCTTGTCCTCTGTGGCCTGTGGCCCCAGGCTCCATGGGCCTCCTACTGGGTCCAGAACAGCACCGGGACTGAGCACAGGTAAACAGGCGGGAGGCGGGAGGCAGAAAGCGCCCGCCCTCTGCCTGCCCCGCCCCATGGGCACCCAGGAGGCTGGCAGGCAGGTGCAGGAGACCTGAGCTGTCCCCTGGGGCTGTTGCTTAGTGACAGTCCTGCCTGGTTACAGCCCCCATCCCCAAGAGCATGAGTGTGGGGCGCTGAGGATTGGGGGCTGCGCAGAGGCCCCTGCAGGTAGAGCAGGGGCTCATGTGGGTCTGCTTACCTGGACAGGTGAGACAAAGGAGTCCCTGGCTAAAAGAGAGAAGGAGGTGGGGCTGCGCACTCCAGGGCCCAGAGAGGAGAGTGGAGGTGGGGGCGGGCTTTGATGCCATTCTCTGTGTAGCTGGGAATTACAGTATTGAAATTATAGTATCGCCTTGTTCTATGGAGCCCACTGCCCGTGATGGTGACCGTGGGCCCAAGCATACCTGGGATGAGCTCTGGACTGAAATACCGTGACCCTCACCCTGACAGCTTGAGATGTCTAGGAGATTAGTGAAGTGCACTTCCGGGAATGTCTGGGAGGGTTATAGGAGTGTGGCCTCGGGGGCTCTATCTGGTGCCCACCCCTTTCCAGCCTCATTCTCTCCCTGGTCCCTGTGCCTCCTGGCTGCCAGGAAATGGGCAGCACCCCTCCTGCTCATCCTCCTCAGCTCCTGCTGTGCTGCTTCGGCCCTGGACCCAGCCGGACACGGACTGAAGCATGAGAAGCCAGGAGCCTCACTGACCCCATCCTCCCCTGAGCTCCTCCAGGGAGCAAGGTCACAGTGTAGGAAAGCTGACGGACGCACATGCGCACCAGGCTTCTCAGGCTTAGGATAAGCAGCATAAGTGGTCTCCATAATCATTTCTATATTGATTGCACACTGAAATGGTAACATTTCCCCTGGCGTGGGTGAAATATAATGTGCTATTAAAATTAATTTCATCTGCTTTTGCATGTTTTTGGTGTGACTATCAGAAAACTTAAATTTCAGCTGTGGCTCACATGATGGTTCTAGGGAGAGGCACCACTGTGGAGATGTGGGCCTGACCCAAGTGCAACAAGGCGGGTGACATGAGGGAGTCCTCATGACCTGTCACCATGAGGGGGCCGACTACCTGCTGACCTGTGTGTTCTGAGGCCAGAATGTGGCATGTGCATCCTCCACTTGCAGGTCCTAGGAAGTGTGTGTGTGCGTATGTGTGTATGTAGTGTAGCATGTGTGAGGTGTGGTAGAGGATGTATGTACAGTGGGGCTGTGTGTGTTGGTTGCATATATGCACACAGTGTGAGTGTAAGGATGTACACATTAAAAGTGTGTGTGCAAAATACATGTATGTATTGTATGTCTGTGGCATGAAGTGGGGGTATGTGGAGCCCAAGCAGTGGGGTGGGGGAGTGTGTGTTTGGGGAGCCAGAAGTCCCAGTTCCCCATCTGGGTGTGTGTGTGTGGCATGCAGGGTGCGTGTACATGGGTGTGTGGAGCCTGAGATGTGTGGCATGGGCAGTGTGTGTGAAGTATGCACTGTGTGTGTGGACTGCAAGCTGCACGCATGTGGGGGGTGTCAGCGAGCGTGCAGCATGTGGGGGGCTGCACAGCACAACCAGCCTTGCAGCTGGGGAGCTGGGTTCTGATCCCTGCTCTCTCCCATCAAATGCAGGCCTCAGGGCCTGCTAGATGCCCAAGGAAGGGATGGGGAGGCCCAGTTGGGGGGGCAGCCATTCAGAACTGGATGGGGTGCCCCTCAACTTGGCTCCTCTTCAGAGCCGTGCCCCTCAGGGCCTGATCCTGACTCTACCCATTCTGCCCCACCCAAGCCCCAGGACTCTTCCCTGCTGCCTCCTCTCTCCTTGGGCTCTGGGCTCAAAAACTGAGAGGGACAAGATCTTGGGATGGGAGCAGGGACAGTGTGTGAGTGGGGACGGTGACAGCCTGAGCCCTGCCTCTGTGCTCCTGCTTCCCTCTGGGAGGTCAGGTGACCCAGGCCGGGCCCAGGCAGGCTAGTAGCTGGACAGCCTAGTTGCAGGTGTTGCGCAACTGATGTCCTCTGTCCCTGACACCCTGCCATCGATCAGCCATGTCCGGGGGAGGGGCTGCACAGAGGACTGCAGGAGACCCTGCGGGAGGCTTTGGGCACTGTGGGCAAGGGCTTCCTGCTTCCACACATGATCACAAGGTCTGGATACTCCTGCCCCCACTCGCACGCACACAGGGACAAAATCTGCACTGCACACCAGTACGGGCCCTCAGACCCCCAGCCACTCAGAGACCTGGCCCTTGTGTGCTGGAGGCCAGGTGGCATGCAGGACAGGAACAGACAGGGTCGGTGTGTCCACCACACTCAGATGCCAAAGATCCAGCCAAGGTTGGGGAGCCAGAAGTCCCAGTCCCCCACCTGGGGGGAGGGCACTAGGCAAGAATCATCCCCTACCCAGGCGGCTCCCCATGGCCTTGGGACGGGGCCCAAAGCTGGGTTGTTGAGGGCAGAGAGATGTAAGGTGGTTCTGACTCCAGTCTGACTGGCAGCCGTGTAAAGGGGGCTCTGGAGACAGAGACTCCCATTCAGGAGAGCGGCCAGAGGGTGGAGCTGAGCCCAGGAGGCAGTAAGCTGCAGGTACCAGAGGCGAGGCCGGGTCAGGGCCCTGGAGCCCACCCGAGGCTGCTGCGGTGCAGACAGCTTGATCCCAAACACAGCTACCAGCCTGTGGCTGTGTGGTATGCTTTGACCACAGCTCACGCACTCGGCTCTGGGCTCTGGGAGCCTCTTCCTGCTGTGTCTGGCCTCCTTCCTCCCAGAGAAGGAGACAGGCTGCGCACTCAATGGCCACTGAAGGGCTCAAGAGCTCTTGTCCTTCCTTTTTCCTTCCTTCCTTCCTTCCTTCCTTCCTTCCTTCCTTCCTTCCTTCCTTCCTTCCTTCCTTCCTTCTTTCCTTCCTTCCTTCCTTCTCTCCTTTTTTATTCAGTGCTGGGGGTTGCACCCAAGACTTGCATCCTGGGCCAGATCTTTTTCTATCTTGAGACAGGGTCTCACTGCGTCACTAACTTGCCCAGGCTGGAGTCAAACTTGTGATCCTCCAGCCTCAGCCTCCCACAGCGCTGGGATGGCAGGCATGTACCACCACACCCAGCAGGAATTCACCTCCGACAGGTGGACCAATAACAGTCAGCTCTTCGCACAGTGTCACAGCAAGCACTTGAGCTCTGGCCCTCCAGGCAGTCAATCACAGTGATGTCTCAATGCAGGTTAGGAGGGATTACGTGCTCCATTTAGCAGAAGATGAGCCCGAGGGAGAAGATGACCTGGCCCGGGCCCCACAGCCTGCAGCAATGGAGCAGGAAATCATCCTCTCCCAATCTGGAGGCCGGAAAATCTGAGATCACAGTGTCCCCAGGTCACCTGTCTCTCTGGAGATCAAGGTGGGGGGACCCTCTCTCATTTCACCCAGCCTCCTGTCAAGCATTCCTTCATCCAGCAGCTGCATCCTGGGCCCCTATTATCACACCCCCTGCGTCTCTCTGTCCAGTGACCCTCTATTCAGGGTCCCTCCTCCAAGGATGCTGGTCCTACTGGGTCAAGCCCATCCCAGTCCCCTATGATTTTATCTTAACTTGCTGACATTTGCAAAGACCCTGCTTCCAATCAACCCAACATTCTCAAGTTCCAGATGGGTAGGAATTTGGTGAGGACACTAGTCAAGCCAATCTAGGGGTTGACTGAGGGCTTGTGCAAAGGCCCTGGGTCAGGATTTCAGTGTGTCCTCCTAGGGAACAACACCTGGCTGATTAAGAGGGGGGCTGGGGGCAGGAGCAGGCTGGCTCCTGATGCTTTGTGATGCTGAGGATTAATGTTCTGAAGTCCTAAGGGATCCCCAAGTCCTCAGTCACTTCTAACACTCATAGCCTCCCTTGGAGCACACACAGACCAGGGCCACTGGGAGGAAGGAAACTCACTGGACAAAAGCCACCTCTGTCACCTCTGTCCCCCGCCAGGGCACCCCCCGCAATGCTCACTCACTCCCTCGCTGAACAGATGCTGAGCCTCAACACAGTACTGGCTGGGACATGGCCAAGACTGCACAGAATCAATCAGTTCCCACCTTGAACACCATCTGGCCTAGGAGACGGACAGCAGATGCACGGATAGCAGGCGCTGGGCGGTAGGTACTTCCTTCCCCGCCTGGCTACAGCACTCAGGACAGAGGACGGTGTACGGCAAGGCTCAGAATCCATCAGGACATGAGGCATGGCGGGATGCTCCTGGGTAGACTCCTGGGGAGCGGGGAGGCATAGTGATGGCCTTTCACTCCAACATGAGACCTCAAGGAATCCCTGTGAAGGTGGCCCATCTTTCTCCATCTGTCTGGGGATCCAAGGTCCCTAAGCTTCTTTAGGCCTCTAGGCCAGGAGTCTCCCAGCCCCTGCTAGGCCCCTAGGACCCAGGCTGCACAGCAAGAGGCTACAGGCAGCGAAGATTCACTTGTGTTTCCATCCACTGCCCCTCCCCACTCCCTCACTCATGCTCCACTCCTATGGGTCTGGGCAGTGCTCCATTCTCCTAGGAGGGCAACCCCTGCCATGAACTGTGCATGTGAGGATGTAGGTTTGGGCTTCTCTGAATCACTCCGAAGGCACTGCCCTCCTGTCTTACATAGAACTGGTCCCTGATGCCAAAAAAGTTGAGAACTATAAAGGCTCTGGGCCACAAGAACCCATGATTCTATGATACACCTGGGCAGGCCTAGTACAGGCCTCATCCCCATTTCTGACATTTCACAGGTAAGCCTTAGCTACTTGGAGAACAGGGGCACTAGCTCTAGGTCACACAGGTAGGAGGGCTGGGAGCTGGGGGGACTCTCTGATGTCAGAACCACCCTGTTCTGTCTCTGTGTCTGTCTTTCCCTCCCCCATCACTGCTCACCCCCATTCTGTCCCAGTCCTGGGTTCTGGCTCTGACATCTGCATGAAAGTACCACAGGGAA